AAGAAGAAATATCTATATCTCTCTCTCTCTCTATATCTATATAAAGACTTATTCAACCAAAGAAAAACACAGCCAGTTATTACAGATCCTAAAAAGCTGGAATCAGTTCTACAATGGCCTTTACCCACTGGGTTGAAAGCCATTCAAAGGTTCATTGGTTTTGCCAATTACAGAAGGTTTATAAAGGGATTTTCTTCAGTAATAGCCCCCCATCACCAATATGGCACGCAAGGGGGTTAGCAGTACGATATGGTCTAAGGAGGCTATAGAAGCCTTTGAAACTCTCAAACAGCGGTTTGCCTCCGCCGACATATTGATACATCCTGACACCAGTAAACCTTTCATACTGGAAGTTGATGCATCAGAGACAGGAGTAGGGGCAGTTCTTTCCCAGAGGGAGAGCCAAGATACTCCATTGCATCCTTGTGGTTACTTCTCTAGAAAGTTGTCTCCTGCCAAGCACAATTATGATATTGGCAATAGGGAATTGTTGGCCATTATTCTAGCTCTCAAGGAGTGGTGACATCTTTTAGAGGGTTCCAAGGACCCCCTTTTGATCATTACTGATCACAAAAACCTGGCTTACATAGGCGATGCTAAACGATTGTCTTCTAGACAAGCTAGATGGTCTTTGTTCCTTTCTCACTTTAATTTTCTTATTATTTATAGACCTGGTTCTAAAAATGTCAAGGCCGATGCCTTATCCAGACAGTTTGATACTGAGTCTATACAAGAGCAATTAAAGTCCCATATCATTCCCCCGGAATGTATCATTGCTTCCACCATCCTTTCATTGTCCTCTCCGCTGCTTGGCTCCATCATGGAGGCTCAGTCTCAGGCGCCCTGCGGTAAACCTCAGGACAAATAATTTGTTTCATTGGGGGAAAGGGTTAGTATCATGAAGGTGTTTCACGACAATGTGTCTGCTGGTCACCCAGGTATTAATAAATCCACTTCTGCCATCATGAGGTCATTCTGGTGGGATTCCCTCAGGAAGGATGTTAAGGAGTATGTGCAGACTTGTTCTGTTTGTGCGGTCTCCAAAGTACCTCAAACTCCCTTGTGGCTTGTTACCCCTTCCCGGTCTTGAGGTCCCATGGTCCCACTTGTCTATGGATTTCATTGTAGAACTTCCTAGTTCTAATGGTTATACCACTATGGCTCACTTCATCCCTTTCAAGAAATTACCATCACCTCAAGACCTGGTACTGATCTTTAAGCGTGATATTGTCCGTCTGCATGGCATTCTTCACAATACTGTATCTGATAGAGGTTCTCAGTTTGTATCCCGGGTTTGGAGGGCTTTCAATAAGCAATTGGGGATTGAATTGTCTTTTTCATCCTCTTACCACCCCCAGACTAATGGTACAGCTGAAAGGGCTAACCAGTCTTTGGAGTTATACTTGCGTTGTTTCGTTAATAGCACTCAAGACAGCTGGTCCGAATTATTACCATGGGCCAAGTTTGCTAGGAACAATGCTGATCATGACTCCTCTGGGCATGAAATTTGCTCCTAGGTTCCTTGTACCTTTTTGTGTCCTTCGTAGGATCAGTCCTGTTGCGTACTCTCTGGCCCTTCCGGACTCCTTGAAAATTCCTAATACCTTTCATGTGTCCTTGCTCAAACCTCTTGTTTGCAATAAATATAATGTCTCAAGTGTCCCTCCTCCTCCCTTTATTGTTTCTGGACAGGAAGAGTATGAGGTCTCCTGCATAATTGATTCCAGGTTTTCTCGGGGGACTTTACATTACTTGGTGGATTGGAAAGGATATGGACCAGCCAATCGCTCTTGGGTTCCGGCATCTGATATACATGCTGGCCGCAATATTTGCTATTTTCATGCCAAATTTCCTCTCAAGCCTGGTCCTGCCCGCCTGGTGGGCGTTCTTCAGGTGGGGGGTAATGTCATGTATTCATCCGCTTATAAAAATGTGGTTAATGGCATTTACGGTCCACAGAGGAAAAGTTGTGACGAGCAGCAACCAAATCCACAGAAGGGTTAATGCTGAACAGTAATTATGCAAATGGAACCTGGTAACTGCCTTTGGGGTCAAAGGCCGGCTACAGCCAATCAGATCTAGAGGAGGGGTATTTAGGCCCAGTTCTCATCCTGCTCAGTGCCCTGTCGTGGTTTCCCTTGTGGTTGTCCGAGAGTGCGTTATTTGATTCTGGTATTTCTGGTTATTTGACTTTGGCGTTGTTTTTGACTTCCCTGTTTTCTGGCTTTTCCTTATCGTTGTGTCTCTGTTTCCCTTGACCTCGGCTATTACTGACTATTCTTTAGTACGTTAGCCCGGCCATTCTAAGGTCCGGTATACGTTACCTATCAGTCCTCTGTGTTACACAGTTCTACTTGCTGGATCATTCTGTAATCCTGACAAAAAGCCATGTCTCTTTATGGCTGGATGTAATGATGTTGTTCATAATTTGGAATATTAAAAAAAACGACTTCTCAATTCCTTGGAATGTTTACATGTATCTCTGCAACCTTGGCTGGAAACTCCACACTCCAAAAATAGTTATGCTGTTATAATTCCTGATTTACAATCAACAGCTAGCGTAACTGACAATATGGAAATTATCACTGTTTTATAAAACTTTTCTTATATAGTGGACTGTGTCACTTCTGTGTCATGAATGTTTTCATTAAGCCATAATGCAATTTTCTTTGCATTCTTCGAATTAGACTTCGAAATCTATTCGTAATATAATAGCAAGTCTTTCATTGCTCTGTCTTATCACTTTTCTTTTGACAACATCTTGCATTAATCTTTTTCCTGCACATGCATACTAAGCCGCTACAAAGAGAACATACCCCCCCGCCTGCAATCCACTGTCCTGGAATTAATGGACCATGCTATGCTGGTGTATTAGGCATTTTAGGGAGTTTACCAAATATGTATATTTGTTCCCTTATGATATTAAAATCAACAATTTCAGCATTGTATGCTAATTACAATGTACCTGGCACCTGAACGTAAAGTGCCTTGTACAAGTTCACATTAAAATCATCTATAATGATAAAGATCTCTTTCTGAGTCTAGGCTACAAATAGCTCAATAGATTCTTGATATTTCAAGACTTGTGCCTTGACAAAGTATAGTGTCTTCTCTTACGTATAAGAGGTTACCTAGGTATTTATTATTTTATAATTAAAGCTTCCAAGTCCCTTCGTGGTCGCCAATTGTAACCGCGGCTGGTTCCCTTATTTACCACTATAACGTCTTAAAGCATAGAACTTAGTAGGACTAACCATACAGATATCTTAGCCATTTCATATAGTTACTGTAAGAGATCCTCTATTTAACATATATAAATAATTGAGAATAAAATATGAAATAAGGATTGTCTTGGAAGCAATAAAGTTTTGTCTTTTTAGATATTTATTATATACAAATATAAATATAGACATATAAAATCCATGTAGCAGAGTTTCTAAGATTAAACTAAATGCTTGCAAATATCATTAATAGGGTAACATACCCTTCTGAACATGTCAGCCTCTGTCATTTTAAGATGGAGCAGCGTCTGTCTCCAAGACTCTCCTCTGTGTCTTAACATTTAAAAGTACACCTATTTATACCTTAGGTGTCTCCATTTTAGGGTCACCGTAGTTCATATATGAAAAAGTAACACTTTATTTACTTTATTCATTTTAGGACCTCCCTTAATTTGGAAAACATACAAGGCCATAACTAAAGGGTGCATACGTCATGGAAATTTTCCTGACTTAGTTCAAGATGGCATCTTAAAGTCTGAACATCCTTATCTACTAAGGTTACCACAGTATATTACGTACTGAAAGAGTTATAGAATAGCCTTGAAGCTTGTTTATGCATTATTGTTATTCGTCTGGGACAAAATGGCGCAAACATATTATGCACTGAGGTTATTGCTTAAAGAAACATTTATGAAAACCAATATGTTCCATTTCACCTTGTCAGTTTGCAATATCTCTTAAAGACAAAGTACACAGTTTAAGAAATACATTTCATTCTAAAACTTGTAATATTTGCATTTGCCCATAACACTGCTGAGTCTCCATGGAGTCAGGAACCAGCGTGCGAGCTGACCAGGAGCTACAGGACCAGGTAATTGTTTCCACGAGTTTTCAGAACAGATAATTGCAATTTGCACGGACCGAAAGTTAGGGTATGCAAATCTCTAGACCTGAGACGGTAGTGAGTGCAGGGCTGGTGCTCCTTAAGAGTGGGAACCAAGCCCATCCCCCGAATAACTTTGAATGACTGCTCATAAACTGCACTTCCACCAGGGGCTATATTGCAATGCTACTCGAGGCCTTCCAAATTAGTGTTTTTGCAAGTTATAGAGCTATAGGTACAAGAAGAATATTGCGGTTTCAAAACATACATTTTTAAAATGTATCAATAGTGACATTGTAACACTATTATCTGTCATAAATCTCTGGAAAACACTCCACATGCATATTTTTTTTTTTTTAAGTAGACAACCAAGGGTATTCATCTAAGGATATTTTGACACTTTCTATGCAGCCATTTTACCACCAGTCTTTGCCAAACTTCGCATAGGTAGTTTTATTTTCACATCCATTGAAACATAGAAACATAGAATGTGACGGCAGATAAGAACCATTCGGCCCATCTAGTCTGCCCAATTTTCTAAATACTTTCATTAGTCCCTAGCCTTATCTTATAGTTAGGATAGCCTTATGCCTATCCCACGCATGCTTAAACTCCTTCACTGTGTTAACCTCTACCACTTCAGCTGGAAGGCTATTCCATGCATCCACTACCCTCTCCGTAAAGTAATACTTCCTGATATTATTTTTAAACCTTTGTCCCTCTAATTTAAGACCATGTCCTCTTGTTGTGGTAGTTTTTCTTCTTTTAAATATAGTCTCCTCCTTTACTGTGTTGATTCCCTTTATATATTTAAATGTTTCTATCATATCCCCCCTGTCTCGTCTTTCCTCCAAGCTATACATGTTAAGATCCTTTAACCTTTCCTGGTAAGTTTTATCCCGCAATCCATGAACCAGTTTAGTAGCCCTTCTCTGAACCCTCTCTAAGGTATCAATATCCTTCTGAAGATACGGTCTCCAGTACTGTGTACAATACTCCAAGTGAGGTCTCACCAGTGTTCTGTACAATGGCATGAGCACTTCCCTCTTTCTACTGCTAATACCGCTCCCTATACAACCAAGCATTCTGCTAGCATTTCCTGCTGCTCTATTACATTGTCTGCCTACCTTTAAGTCATCAGAAATAATCACCCCTAAATCCCTTTCCTCAATTTTAATTCAGGTATAAACTTACAGATCCTGTTATGTGTTGCTGCCAAAAAACACACTAATATGTGTCCAGCAACATCTCCTGACTACAGTGATAGCACCCATGAAAAGGGCTTGTCGGGTTGTTTGGGGGCTAAAATGCCACATTTGGCAGGTGTGCAAATCCATTTTCCAACTTGGAATTTTGACATGTAGTCAACCTGCACACATGTCCTATTTGAGACATTTGTAAGGCCGACCAATGTATTTTTTCCACTCCAAACCATATATTTTTGGAAAGTAGACACCCTAGGGTATTTCAAATGGTGGTATTTTCACACTTTCCATGCACTAATTCTACCACCAGATTTTGTCAAACATTTAGGTAGTATTTTTTTTGTTTTTTTTCACACACATTTTACTTTACGCATGAATTACAAGATCGTTTTATGTGTCACTGCCAAACAACACCCCAATATGTGTTCAGCAACATCTCCTGAGTACAGTGATACCACCCATGCATAGGCTTGTTGGGTTGTTTGGGGGCTAAAAGGCCACATTTGGCAGGTGCGCATATCCATTTTTCAGCTTGGAATTTTGACATGTAGTAAACCTGCGCCCCTGTCCTATTTGGGCCAATGTATTTTACCCCCATCAAACCATATATTTTTGAAAAGTAGACAACTCAGGGTATTTTAAATGGTGGTAGTTTGACACTTTTCATGCAATAATTCTACCACCAGCCTTTGGCAAACTTTTGGGTAGTATTTTTTTTCGTGGTTTTTTACACACACATTGTACTTTAGGCATGAATTAACAGATCCTGTTATGTATCACTGCCAAACAACACACCAATATGTGTTCAGCAACATCTCCTGAGTACAGTGATATCACCCATGCATAGGTTTGCTGGGTTGTTTGGGGGCTAAAAGGCCACAATCGAGACTTGTACATATCAGTTTTTCAACTACATATAAGTATGCTTGGCCTATCTTTGCATCCGTCAGTTAATGTTAACATCATTCCCGGGTATTATATATGGGATGTTTTCACATCCTTCCCCCAACCATTGTGCTAAACAAATTTCAGAGAACGTGCATGGTGGTAATTTTTGAATTCTGCTTTTTATGCACACGTCATCTGGTTTTGGCCAGCCAGTTATATGTTACTACCATAAAACATTTTTAACCAAATATGCAGGTATCAAATGCACCTTTAGCAGCATTCTCTAAACTAACTCCTGCAAAAAGAATCTAACTGGAGATTTGGGGGAAGGAAACTGACTAACTAAAATTTGCTGCTTTCAAAAGAAAAAAAAACAGTGCAAAAGGGTGTCTGTCCTTTTCCCTTTTTTATAACAGACCCGGCAAAGTTTCAAGGGATTTTTTTTTTTTGCAGTTGGCGGTATCTTAAAAATAAAATGTCTGGACTCCTCTGGCACCGTTGTTAGAACTTGACCATCTCCATAAATTATTGTGGAAATGAGCTTGAACTGAAATTGGAGAAAGGTGGTTCATTCTGGATTCATTTTTTTAAAGAGTAAAAATGAATGTGTTGCTACTTGCATCAGGTATATAGCCACCTTTTCATACCAGGCTTTTGTCTTTCTTAAGATAAGATATGGCTGCATCAGCTGATCAGCCAAATCAACACCCCCGTGTGCATTTTACAATCCCTGATGCAAACAGGTTTCACTCTGTAGTCTGCCTAGGACAGTGACGTCTGACGTGCTTTCGTCATGGATGGTGGTTAGTATATTAACATCCTTCCTGTCCTTAAATTTTATTGCAAGCACTTTAGCTTTGTGCAGACTTTCACTTTTTTTTTTATTTGGCCTCTATAAAAGGTCTGGGGAAATCCTTGGCATTTCTTCTCACACTGCCACAGGCCAGTATCTAGAAACCCTAAAGAGTTTGAAACAAACGGACAATGCTATAAAAATTGTCCACATAACGGTGGTAACCTTTATTGAACAAGGGGATTAGTAGGTCCCAAACAAATTTCCCGCTTGTCCCCAGAGAGTCAGGACAGCCAGGAGGGTCCAGTTGACCATCTTTCCCCTCATATACACAAAAGGCAAATGTATAGCCACTTTCGCTCTCGCACAGTTTGTAGAATTTTCCGCCATACCTAAAGCGCTTTGAGGGGATGTATTGTTTGAATCCTAATCTCCCTTTATATTTCATTAACGATTCATCAATAGATAAATTTTAGTATAAACTTCAGTAAATTTGTGCTTTAGATGGTCTACCAGTGGGCGTATTTTATAAAGCCAGTCATATTGGGTGTAATCTCTGGGGTGACAGAGGGTATTGTCATTGAAATGTAATTATCTCAGCAGCAGCTCATATCTTGTTCTAGACATGGTTTGAGAGTACACTGGACTAGAACAGATTGGGTTGGTGCTTCAGTAAGAGCGGATTGATGGCTTCTTTATAATCCCCATGAGAATTGTAAGAGCCCAGAATTTATTAAGTTCAGCGACATCTGTGGGATGCCAAGCATTCTCCCTGACTGCATAGCTATCTGGATTGGTATCAATAAATTGGGTAGCATATAAATTAGTCTGGGGAGCAATCTCCTCCCAGATGGTAAACCCTAAAAATAGCTCCATATATTGCATAGGGGAGAAGTCATCCACATTGACATTAATGCCTGTGTTAGCACTAAAAGGGGGGATTTTAGGCTCAGCTAACTGTGGAGAAACCCGTTCCTCCTCCACATTCGGCATAGCAGAGAAAGTACAGCTTTTTGCAGCTGGCTGCACACACAGATGACATGTCACTAGATGTGTCAGAAAACTGACCTGGGTCAAAATCGGACGCAGTGTCAGTGGCGTCAGAGTCTGACTAACACAGAGTTACTAACACAATTTTTTTAAATTTTATACTAAAAACAGACTAAAACTGATAAAAACAGACTAAATGAGACTAAAACTTCCGTTAGCAGCAATCTGTAAACTAACTCCTGCAAAAAGAATCTAACTGGAGATTTGGGGGAAGGATACTGACTAACAAATTTGCTGCTTTCAAAATAAAAAAAATAAATAAATCAGGAACAAGTATTATAAAAATGTATTTTCTGTGTGGTAGACCTTAAAACATGCTCCAATACACAGTCCAGGTTTTGTAGGGCAATCGGGACAGTGAAAAGTGGGGGTTTGTCCTTTTCCCTTTTTTATAACAGACCCGGCAACGTTTCTGGGGATTTCTTTTTTTTGGTGTTGGTGGTATCCTAGAAATAAAATGTATAGACTCCTCTTGCAGCGTTGTTGGAACTTGACCATCTCGATAAATTATTGTGGAAATCAGCTTGAGCTGAAATTGGAGATAGGTGGTTCTTCCTGGATTTATTTTTTGAAAGAATAAAAATAAATTATGTGTTGCTATTTGCATCATATATATAGCCACCTTTTTATACCATGCCTTGGTTTTTTGTAAAATAAGATATGGCTGCATCAGCTTATCAGCCAAAGCAACACCCCCCATGTACTTATTATACGCCCTGATGCAAACCGGTTTGGACTCTACTCTGCCCCGGACAGAGATGTCTGACATGCGTTCGTCATGGATGGTGGTTAGCATGTTGACATCCTTCCTGTCCCTAAAATTTAGTGCAAGCACTTCAGCTTTGCGAAGTGCTTTACATTCACCTTTTTTAATTTTGCCTCTATGAGAGATTGTGGAAAGTGTTTGGAATTTTTTCTGGCAGTGCCGCAGGCCAGTGTCTGTAAACCATAAAGTGTTTTAAACAGACGGACACTACTCTAAAAATTATCCGCATAAAGGTGGTAACCTTTACTAAACAAGGGGTTTAGTAGGTCCCATACAAGTTTCCCACTTGTCCCCAGGGAGTCAGGACAGCCAGGAGGGTCCAGTTGACCATCTTTCCCCTCATATGAACGAAAGGCAAACGTGTATCCGCTCTCGCACAGTTTGTACAATTTTATGCCATACCTAGAGCGCTTTGAGGGGATGTATTGTCTGAAACCCTAATCTCCCTTTGTATTTCATTAGCGATTCATCTATGGATACATTTTGTTGTTGGGTATAAACATCCGAATATCTGTCCTGAAAATGGTTTATTTTTTTACACTAAAACAGTAATGCCTAAACTAACTCCTGTTATAAGAATCTAATGGAGATTTGGGGGAAGGAAACTGACTGACTAGACAGACTACGACAGACTAAGAAACAAATTTTTAAAATAAAGTTAACCCTTAAGGGCAAAAAAAAAAAATACAGACAGTACAAATGCACTGTCTGTAACAGATCTGACAGGGAAGGGGTTAAAATGGGATTTTTATTCACTGGTGATACTTTTTAATACTCTTTGGAACACCTGCTGCAACAATATATCACGATCTCTGTCTCTCTCCCCTCACAAAACGCTACAGGGGGAGAGATGTAGAGATCAGTGTTAAAGTGAGTGTTTGTAACACCCACTTTGACACCAGCCAATTGTGAGCGATCGCGGATCGCTCACATGACGCAATTGGCTGTTACTATCTGCCTGGGATGCCGGGCAGATAGTAACAGGATTTCGGCGGAAGTGATCTCCGATTGCTCCCGCCGCCCGTTTTATGTTAGGACGGTTCAGGACCGTCCTCTGTCGGCAACGCAAAAATGCAGAGGACGGTCCTGAACCATCCTACGTCCTGAAGGGGTTAAGGGGTTAAGTAATGATCAAAACAAACAAAACCTGGAATTTGCGCGGTATGTGGTTCAACCATAATTCACCTCTTTCATATTACGTGCACCCACACATATTTTGTTAAGGAGAAACTGGGCTTTCATTTTATATCAAATATTTATATATGAGTCATAATTTAATATGAATAAAACAAAACAAAAATTTTAATTAATACATTTTGTTGTTTTTTTCCAAATTCTGCATGGCATTTTAACTGTGAATGTCATAATACTGTTGTATTTCACTGCAATAAAATACACATATTTGTATTCAGAAATGTCTCACGAGTACAACAGTACCCCCCATGTACAGGTTTTAT